CTAGTAACTAAATGTTTTGGAAATAATGAGAGGTAGATAAAAATCTGCAAATTTATAAGCAAAAAAAAAAAGTTATTACAGAAAGGAAGGAAAAAAAGGCCAATTAATCTTAAGACTTTTCAAGGCTTATGCAAAACTAGTGTTGTTTCACCCAGACATGTAATCATTCCATTATTCCTCTCTGCAATGGGGCAGGGAGGGAGCAGGCAGCAAAACTATCGCTTCTTTTGCACTGTTATAGTAGTGATGATCTCGACAGCTTTCATCACCACAGGAAGTCAAGCTTGCCTTGGGGAAACTGGTGACAGGTTCTAGAAAAGGTCAGTGATAGGCAAGCAGATAGTGCATGCTGTTTGGTATGTAGCCACTATGGTTAGCAGAAAACCTTCAGTTTAGTTATTGAAATGAGAGGATAAAAGAAGAGAGGGTATTTGGTTGCTATTTCAGTTAGAAAATCGGACAAGAGGCCCAGTTTTTCAAAAAGCATAGTCCCACAAAGCAAATCTGCGTTTTGCATAGCCAGGTTAAGAGGTAGTACACCTCTCTCGCTTCAGCTAGCTTTTCTGGAGACACACACTTCAGGTCAAGGCTCTGTAGAAAAGCTTATTCTGGCAACTAGAAAATTGAGCTCACTCTTGATGTCAGATTATATGAATAACTAATATAAATGTTTAGTGATTTACAGTGAGGAAATGCTGTCCCCAGAAGACCATCAATTGGTTTATTGGTATACTTGTTTTATTGATTTCCTAAAAGCACACTGCTGTTCAGACCTGGGATTTAAATTCTCTTTATCTGAACCCAGATTCCATGTTTTTCTTACCACCTCATAATGCCACACATGTAGGAACATGCAGAATTCTGAATCTCTCACCTATGGGACAGCGCTTTCCAAACCTGGCTACTTAACACATCTCTCCATAGGTGTTTGAAATACAGATTCCTGGTTGGGCATAGTGGGTCACACCTATACTCCCAGTACTTTGGAAGGCAGAGGTAAGAGGATTGCCTGAGTCTGCAGGTTCGAGACCAGCCTAGGCAACATGGCGAGACCTCATCTCTACAATAAATAAAAAAATTAGCTGGGCATTGTGGTACATACCTGTAGTTCCAGCTACTTGAAAGGCTGAGGTGGAAGGATTGCCTGAGCCCAGCAGGTCGAGGCTGTGGTGGCTGTGAGCTGTGTGCCATGGCACTCCAGCCTCAGCAACAGAATGAGACTCTAATTCAAAAAAAAAAAAAAAAAAGAGAGAGAGGAAGACAGATTCCTCAGCCTTGCCCCTAGAGATTCTGACCCAGAGTGGTGTTTGTGAATCTGTAGTTTCCCATGGTTGCCTAAGGGACTAATACACAGCCAGAACTGGGAGCCACTGTTTTGTTATGTCAAAGACCATCGCTATAATGTTTAGCTGATATCCCAATATCACTTTTAGGGTTTAGTTTATAAGAATGGAAATCAATGTGCTTTAGATCAGTGGCTTGTGACTGTTTAAAAACTATCTTACCAGCCGGGTTTGGTGGCTCAGCCTGTAATCCCGCGCCTTTGGGAGGCTGAGGTGAGTGGATTGCCTGAGCCTGCGGGTTTGAGACCTGCCTGGGCAGGCGAGACCTCATCTCCACAAAAAATCAAAAAATTAGCCAGGCGTGGTAGCATGCGCCTCTAATTCCGGCTACTCAGAAGGCTGAGGCGGAAGGATTACCGGAGCCCAGCAGGTCGAGGCTGCGGTGGCCGGGAGCGGCCACTGCACTCCAGTCTGGGCAACAGAGTGAGACTCCAACTCAAAATAACAAAACAAAACAAAACAAACAAACAAAAAAACTATCTTACCATTTGAGATTCTGTTGAGATCTATGGATCGTTCCCTAAGAAACACACACACATACACATTTTACATATTATTTTAGAAGGTTTTCCATTGCTGCTATAACAAATGACTAAAAATATAGTGGCTTAAAACAACATTTATCATCTTCTAACTCTGGAGGTCAGAAGTTGGATATGGTTCTCACTGGACTAAACTCAAGCTGTCGCCTTTCTGGAGGCTCTGGGGGTCAATCCATTTTATTGCCTTTTCCATCTTCTAGAAGCTACCTGGACTCCTTGGCTCATGGGTCCCTTCTTCCATCCTCAAAGCCAGCCGTGTGGTACTTTCTGCCCTACTTCCACTGTCTGCAACCAGGAAAGGTTCTCTGCTTTTAAGGATTCACATATTTAGACTGGATCCACACAGATACACATAATCCAGGAAAATCTTCTCCTTTCAAGGTCCTTAACTGTAACTACATTTGCAAAGTCCTATGTAAATGGCTATGGCTATGTAAAGTAACATTCACAGGTTCCAGGGATTAGGATTAGGTGGACTTCTCGAGGGGAAGCATTAGTCTACCAATCACAGAGGGTCTTAGAACTCTGAAGCCGCCTGAAATATGAGTGAACCCTAGGCTAGGAGCATCTATTCTAGATTATATTCATTCCAGATGTTGAATCAGCGAGGAATTCTGCTTGGCTGCAAATGACAGAATCCTCAAAAGTAGTGGCTCCTACAAGTTAGGTGTTTACTTCTTCCCATGTAGTAAGAGGTCCCAAGAAAGACAGCTCATGTCAGGTGCAGCAGTTCTAGGATGTTGAAGCTGAGGTCTCTGCAGTTCTCCTGGTCTTTCCCCCCAGGGAGCCCTCAAGACAGCTGCTGTATCTCCAGCCATGATCTCCATGGTTCAGGCAAGGGGGGTAAGGTTCCCACACAAAAGTCATAGACCAGCTGAGTGGAGTCCCTTTAAGAAATTTTCCCAGAAGCCTCCCACGCAAATAACATTTATTCATTCCTTTTTTTTTTTTTTTTTTTGAGTTGGAGTCTCACTCTGACGCCCAGACTGGAGTGCAGTGGCCGCTCCCGGCCACCGCAGCCTCGACCTGCTGGGCTCCGGCGATCCTTCTGCCTCAGCCTTCCAAGTAGCTGGAACTACAGGTGTGCGCTATCACGCCCGTCTGATTTTTGATTTATCGTAGAGATGAGGTCTCGCCAAGTTGCCCAGGCGGGTCTCGAACCCACAGGCTCAGGCAATCCACTCACTTCAGCCTCCCAAAGGCACGGGATTACAGGCTGAGCCACCGAGGCCGGCTCTTTTTTTTGTTCTTTTGAGTCAGAATCTCACTCTGTCACCCAGGCTGGAGTGCAGTGGCAGGATAATGGTTTACTGCAGCCTCAACCTCCTGGGCTCAGGTGATCCATCTGCCTCAGTCTCTCTAGTAGCTGAGATTACAGGCATACACCACCAAACCCAGTTAATTTTTTAATTTATTGTAGAAACCAGGTCTTGCTATATTGCCTAGGCTGGTCTCATACTCCTGGGCTCAAGCAATCCACCTACCCCATCTCCCAAGGTGGTGGAATTACAGGCATGAGCCACGGTGCCTGGCCATATGCTCATATCTTACTGGCCAGACACTGTTGATGGCCACCCTGTCTGCAGAAGGGACTGGGAAATATAGTTTCTTTTAAAGTCTTGTTGCATTAATACTCCAACAATTCCGGGTTTTGTTAGTAAGGAAAATGGAAAGTATAAATATTGGGAAGATATGATTGATGCCTACCATATATGGAAACTTGGGTTTTGTGTCCTAAGATGAGAATGGATCATTTTTCACTCTCACACAACCATACCATCATAAAGTTAAAAGTCTTCTTTGGAATCTCCCTCAAAGTGCCTCATCTGCTAAGTTGCTTTTATGCAAGGACTTCATTCTTTCAACGTTTAAGTATCTACCAGTGCCTGGGACTGAGCTGGGTCTTGGGGTTACAAAGGTAACTAAGACACCCTTTTGTTCCCCAGAGTCTTATCTGTGGGGAGGGATGGAGAAAAAAAAACATGATTAAAATGTCCTAGGTGAGCCGGGCTTGGTGGCTCAGCCTGTAATCCCGCGCCTTTGGGAGGCTGAGGTGAGTGAATTGCCTGAGCCCGTGGGTTCAAGAC